TTTCTGAGAAAATAAAACATCTTTATTTTTTTAGGTTTTTTTTGGGGGGGATATATGAGATGACCAGCTATATATGATTCACAACATGTACTTTGATTTATATTTCTTTCATTTTTTTTAAGAAACGATTTCATATGACTCAAGAATGTTGTATATGGGCTTGGGTTATATGGGGGAATTGCAAAAGAAGTTACAGATAGATAATGGAGTGGCGAGAAGATTCACGACAACAAAAGTTAAGTTAAAGCTTTACGAGGTGTTTGGATAGAACTAAACTATGGTTTCAGAAATGTTTTTACAGTTTATAAAGTAAATATGAATGAAGGAATTTGCCTCGTTTTGTAAAAAAGTGTTCCTGAAACTATGATTTGGAGGTTGTCAAACACCCTTTTAGTTGGCTTCGGCTTCTTTTAATGATCTAAAGATAAAGGTTAGAGAAAACAAACAATCAGTGCACAGAAGGTCAACCTGAGGATATTGTCTCTGAGTTGCCGCCATTGATTTGTTGCAGTTGCTTCATAATTTTTTGTAATCCCTCTATCTGTTTATGCGAATCACACTGAGAAAAATACTCTTCACATCCACCGTTTTTTTCCACTTACACGCATATATTTTCCTTCCGCCTTTTCTATTAAACCAGCCATATAATAATGTAATAATAGTAGCAGCAGCAGTGCTAAACTGTGCTTTGACTGTCGCTATGTGTCTTTTAACTTGTTTGGTCTTACACTAGCAAGCCGCACATTGGGGGGAAAAAAAGAAAGAATCATATCTTTATTCACAGGCTGGGCAAAAATTATTGAGTTAAATGTACAGTATATTGACACCAGCAAACTGTTCATGTTTGATGTTGTCCAAAAGCCCCGAAAAACCTATACGGGTTTGATAGATACCCTCCCCTCCCCGCATATATGAGGGGACTTTGTAAAGGATCTGGATCCTCTCCCGTACGCTAGAGGGCTCTCACGCCACCGAACCAAATTTAGCAGGATGTATATACACAACACTTTCTATTTGTCCAACTCATTGGCTGGTTATCTCTCTCGTCTTTGGGGCGAGCTTTTCTCTCCCGTCCTTAGAATGCTCTTGAGGCGGTGGGAGTCATCGTTCTCTCCCTCCTCAGCGGTCTCCACAAAGGAGGGGACGTCCGTCCTTTGTGTCGTCTGTTCTTTCTTTTTTTGTGGTGATGGGTTTTCTATGGTGGTGCTCTTTATCTCTCCGGCAATAATCAATCTTGTGGGTTTTGATTCCGACACCGCTTGCTCTGATGGTTATAGATCAGATCTCGATAATATGGCTTGGATATACATTTTTGGCGGAAGGGCACTGTTGGTGACTATCTCTGCTGCCTTTTGTTCTATCTTTCGGAGGATAGTTGCTGGTCCTGTTTGGTGGGGGCGATTCAAAGCTGTTAGTGTGGGGTATATGCATTATCAGCAGGGTCTGTAAGTGGGTGGCTCACGGTGAGCTCTATCTTTTCTCCGGTGCCGTATATTTGGCTGGTGACTGTAGGCATCAGTTCTATGGGTTCTCCCATAATTGTAACAACCATTCTTGGTTGCTTCTTAGCCTACAAGAGGGGTGGGTCCTTTGGGGGTGGTTGTTTCAAACCCCAACCCCTTACTTTGGCATCAGTGCCGGTGATAACGTTATCTCCCTACAGATTCCGGTAAATCGACGGGGTTCCTCTCTAGTGAACTCGACGGCGGCTTATCTTCTAGTTTAGTGACGGGTTAGGGTTTTTGTTTGGGCTGTTAGCTCGATGGCCTTTCTTTGTTGGTCTTTTATTGGGCTTTGTTTGTCTTGATTCTTATTTTAATGAAAATATAATCTTATGAGGTCAAAAAAAAAAACTCATTGGCTGGTCAATGTGGTAATCTACCATAGGTCGATGTTACAGGTTAGTCCTGCACAAAAATTCCGAGAAAATGCTCAAAATGGTCAAAGTCCCGATCGTTGGCAGAAGTCCAATCAGACATACCCCATATATGTAGTCCCCCGTCTTGATTCAACACAGGCATGTTCTCTCATGGCTCATTCGTCAGGGTTCATCTCCGTCTTCCTCTTCCTCTTCCTTATTTGTCCCACAACAAGAAGTATTCATATGTGCGAGACATATTGCGACCCGAACGAATTTCCCGTTCAGTTCCCTTTCCAGTTGGTCAGAGACGAATTAGCGAATGGAAGCAACACTCGTTGTGGATACCCTGGTTTTGAACTTTCCTGCAACAAAAGCAGAACGATGCTTCATCTCCCACACGCTGGAGACTTCCTGGTGGATTTAATCTCCTATGAAGATCAAAAGCTTTGGATCAGAGACCCCGATAATTGCCTCCCCAGACGATTCATGAACAACGAATTCAACCTCACAGATTCCACCTTCCTGAACACTCAGCTTCAACCTCAGACTTCCTCCTTCCAACTCAGTTATGCTCCGAACTTCCCTTCTTCAACTGCTCCTCCAACGTCACCCAGCAGTACCAACGTCGACCCATCCCTTGCTTAAGCTCTGACCTCAACCAGAACCATTCGGTGTTCGCTGTTTTGTCAGATTTTCCCTTTCTACGCCATGGATCGAGGGGTGTAAGCCCATTTCCTCTGCTTCAGTTCCCTCTTCTATCCCCAATGGAATATTCTGGGGGGACCTGAATGCTGATATAGGCTTGCAATGGAACACTCCAAGCTGTGGAGACTGTGTGGCGAAGAATGGACGGTGTGAGTTCTTGAAGAATACAGGTCTTGAAGTCGCTTGCTATTTAACACACCAAGGTATATATATCCCTTAATTCACACAAATAGATATGCGCCTCTTTCGATGGCTGACAAAGATAATACTAATGATTTTAGATATATACTTGTGAAGGTGGTCTTTCAAAGTTTGCCAAGTACGGATTAGGCTTTGGAGTGGGAATTCCTGGGTTGCTGAGTGTGATCGGAATCGTGTACATGTGTAAAGGGAGGCGAAGAAGGAACGAAGATGGAAGGCAAAGCAGAAATATTGAACTGAATAATGTCGCAGGGTGGTCGTCTATAGTAGTTATGGGGCTTGATGGAGAAAGCATAGACAAGTATCCTATGACTCGGATTGGGATAGTGGCGATTGCCCGACCCGGACACACAACGTTTGCTCTATATGCCTCAGTGATTACCAACCCCAAGACAGTTTGAGGACAATCCCAGATTGCAATCATTACTTTCACGCCAATTGTATAGATTCATGGCTCCGCATGAACGCTACTTGTCCCTTGTGTCGAAAATTACCCCACCACTCGTAATTATATTCCTCTTTGCTCTTGTTCTTGGCATTTCACAGTTGCTTTTGGCTCATTTTTTGTGTTTAATTTGTAGCTAGGAAATTGGTTTTGGGCTTGTGATAGTGAAATTGTAAAGTGAAAAGCATATATCTGATGCAGAAGGGTTCTGTATCAGAAGCAATTCAATGAATTCATCTATATCACTACTGAACTGTTGATTGTCAATGCCCTATAGTTGCATCGTTAATTTATTAATTATATCTTATCAGGAAATAAAATTTAATACGACTAGCTAGTTTATTTAGGCTGCTGATCAAAATAAAAGTTGAATTGGTCATGCTCGCCTTCAGAGTCACGGTATATTTGAATAAAAAATGTGACTGAGAAATAAATAAATAATGCAAACCTTGTAATTAAGTAGGGAGAGGTTGATCCAATGGTCATTTTACTCTGTCGATGGCAGACTCGTTTTTAGAGTCACAAAGAGGAGCGGATGCTAATTAAAGTGCGGACCCCAAAAAAAAAAGAAGATTGTTTTCCCATTAATTAATCATTCTTTCTTTCGAAAACTGGCGACACATCATGATATCTTACCATTAATAGATAATAGATAAAATAGGTAGATATTAATGATGGAAAAAATTATATGATTAATAAAATTGCCAATATTTTTATTTTTTACTAGTTAATTAAGAATATTAATTTTTTGGCTACTGCGGTTGAAGAGTAATAAAAGGAAGAGTGACTAATTTGATTTTTGAACATAACATCTATACCAGCTTCTCAATCAAATGTGACGTACGTGGAATTGAACTCCAACACGTAATCGACCTGCTTGGCGCGTGGTTTAGAGATACAGGGTTAAAAAACCAAGCAGGCTTTGACTTCAGATTCAGATAGCAAGAACTGGTTGGGTGTTTGTTTGAGAACTGGGGGGGGGGGGGGGAGGGGGAGAGAGAGAGAGAGGAAGGGCCTTTACGGATCACCATATTTGACCGGCCGGGGTTAGGTCGGGAAAGCTGCTTAGAGAAGAATTCAATTAACCCAAAGGGTTGGTTAGCTGTGGAGCGAGAGATGCACCCACAAGCAAACCAGTTAAACCATGCATTAGTCAGAAGTTGATCATTCTAGTCCCTGTCGTCTTTGACGCGTTGGACAGTTACTGGGGAACTCCCTCTGTTGCATTGCAGTAATCTATTCATGGCCAGTCATTGACACAGATAAAATAGAATGATTTCTGAGGTCCCACTAATTAAGCTTAGCTTCAACATCATCACCCTCTTCCCCCTTGTCTGTGTCAAACAAAAGAGGAGAGCTATACAACAATAATAGGCAGCTTCATCTCTCTGAAATGACTCCCTTATTAGCCTCTCTGTTGTTATTATTATTGTTACTGATAATCCCGGGCGCAACTGTGGCTGAAGAAGTGGAGCCTTGCACGAGCAGGTCTTGTGGAGGAATCGAGATCAAGTTCCCTTTCGGTTTAAGAGGAGTCAACCAGAGTCGTCGATGTAGCTACCCAAAGTTCAGTGTTTGGTGCAATAATCAGAGCCAGACCATCTTGACGCTGCCAGAATCAGGCGACTTGGTGATCAACGACATCGATTATGCCTCCCAAACCCTTTGGGTCAACGATCCTGGTCAGTGCCTTCCAAGACGGTTCTTGAGGGGCCTCAACCTTTCTTCAGCTTCGCCCTTCCAACTCGATCCTGACCTTTACAATCTCATCAACCTCACCTTTCTTCGTTGCCCTTTCAACTTGACGCAAAGTCCACTCACTTCAGTTCGTTGTCTTAACGATCCTGCCAATTCCTCTTTCGCTGTGACGTACGTTTGGATGCGATCCATTCCTCGGCCTTTGAATGAATCTTGTGAGGTCATTAATTCTTCTGTCCCCTACCCGATTTCCGCCATAGACCCGTGGCCTTTCTGGGTCGATATCGACGAGGATTTACAGTTGACGTGGGGCAGGCCACGTTGTGGCCCCTGTGAATCTCGAGGACAAGATTGTGGATTCGCCGAGCGTATGGGTCTCCGAACAGGATGTTTCTCTCGTTCCCAGGAAAGCTCAGGTACCCTCTCTCTGTGTGTCTCTGTGTGTGTGTGTCTATTCTTATTGTTTCCTAAGATCATCGTTCTGAACGCCTAAGTTTTGTTTGATTAGGCGAACTCGACATAGCAAAGTTAACTGCCTTGTTTTCTCCTCCATCAATTAGCATGTTCCGGAGTTATTTAGTTCTAACAACTCTCATTCGTAGGCATGAAACTGTGCTAATTGGGAATTGATTCTCCGGACTCTGTTTCGCACAATGAATTCCTTAGTTTTAACATGAAAAAACACTCAAATATTCGGTTTAATTCATGATATGCCAAAGTTTTGGGTTTAAATTTGAAATTTGTGATATGTGTAGTTAATTAGTGGTTAGCGTCAGTTGGAGACTAAACTGGTCCAGGTGATACAGATTTTCTATTGTTCAAAAATCCTGGGGTGGTTGGAGATTGAAGCGGTTGTGGCTCATGCCATTGTTTCAAAAGGAAGGGAAGAATTAGGATCAGATAATTTAAGTGAAGATTTGCCGTAGGATAGACGCTTGCTTACAAGAGCCCGCGGGACCCATGAAAATTTAAAACATTTTTTGAGGTGGAAAATTGGGAACCCTTGGCTTGTTACTTGTTAGGTTGGGGTCTATATGCGTACATCCCTGTCATCCTTTAAAAAACCATAAGAACATACTATTTCTGGTCTAAATTATAAAATTTTATTTATAATCAATGAGATTTTATAATTAATACTAACATTTTTACCTTCCGACAAGTTGTTGACCATTTGAAAATTCTACGCGGGCATTAGTATATGAGATATAAGACAATATATCCACACACCTCACATTCCCATTGGTCATTGGTGGTATATCAAAGGAGAAATCATTTATATTTTTCTACAAATTTTTCCAATCACCTGTTTTTTATTTATTTAAAATATAAAGACTAAAAATAATTTAAAATTTTAATTATTATCTTCGATTTATTTAATTGTGAAATTTTTAAAAAAATTGTTAAAATAAAACATTGAATTCATCATAATTAAGACAATACTTGTATTAAATTCTTTATAAGCATTATGTCAGGTCCTCCAATCACGTATGACTACCATAGCCCATGTGTGATTGGAAACTTGACACTATAAATATAAGAAACTTGATTTAAGTTTTTTATATGTATAATTATTATTTTTGGACTGATAGACGAGTCATTTTTTTTTGTCGGCACAAAAAAAAAAAAAAGATCCATTGATTAAGGGTACATTTGAAAATTGAAACAGGTATTCCAAAAGGCGTAAAATATGGGCTAACGATAGGAGGGGGAATACCCGGAGTGCTGTGTTATACTATCAATCTTCTCACGCTTACATAGCTACACGCCTCTCTCTATATACTCCTCCGTGTATATATTCATGTATGCAGCAGCTTCTACGTGTGACTTTAAGTGAAACCATCGAAATTTTCAATACCAATATCCAATATATGGAACGGATTATTGATGGATTACAGAAAGAATTGAATCGGTAACGTAAAGCAGTACAATTATTATGAAACGTACGCCAGTTAATGTGCATGCCAAGTTGAAGGTGTCCGTATATATATTGTATGATCTGGTTTGTTTGCAAATCACACCCTACATATCAGATTCAGTTTTAATTATATAAATTTAAGATTTCAATATCACTTATTCTCTCTCCATACATAAAGAGAAAGGCGCACGCCTTGATTTTTGGTCATGTACATTATATATGGAAGAGCAGTGCCCAAGAAGCTGCAAAAAGATGCTGGACGGCTCGGGAATTGGAAGGAAGAGACCTGTGAAACCGTTGGCACCGTTTAGTATGAACTGTTGAAAATAAAGAATGGGGATTAGAATTGAGGTTGAGAAAATAGTGTTTAGTATGAGAAATTATTTGTTATATAGAATTAGACAAACCTATGTATGTGGGATTGAGGAATATTATGAGGAGAAGTGGTATTCCTCAATGCTACTTTCATAGGTTTATCTAATTTCATGTAATGGGTAATTACTAATGCTAAAAACGTTTTTAATGATTTTTTTTCAACTGCAATCTTAATCCCTATTCCTCATTTTCAATGCATCGTACCAAATAGGACAATTGAGTTCTACGTTTTGACATTTTAACTCAAATTTTCGAGACAGAGTGCTGTTATTGTCTATGATAGATCTTCTCTTGACATATCTAATCGTCACGTTTTCCTAGCAGCAGATCGTTTGATATTTTTAAGGGGAATTCAGCTCTTAATATAAGATTCAATTAACTAATTTAGAGAAATTAAGAAAGTTAAATAATCTGCTTTAAATTATATTTATCGTTTTTCTCTAAACTAATTTGCTTAACTTATAAATTGACATATAATCTAATGACATGTAGTACTACTTCATGTCCTTAATATAAGAAATAGTTGATTAATTTGAGTAGATTAAGAAAGTTAACTAATTTAGTTGTTTGTAATAAATAGGTGTTGTTTTTCCTAAAATATCCTTACTAATCACATGTATTAGCTAAAACTATTATTTAATAAAAATTTTATTATGTACAGCTACTATAAGGATAACTTTGAAAAAAAGTAAAATACATCGATCACCTTTTTATTTTGTCTCCATTATAGAAACCTTCCCTCTATTTTGAAAATGTATGTTATACAAACCTTCCTCCTATATTTAACGTTCAATTTCCATCCACCCAAACCGTTAGTTAACTGTTAAATTTAACTTTAAATTATTTTTTTATTATCAAAATGTCTTTTTTAACTTAATAATTATTTAGAAATTTATATTTTTCAAAAAATATTTTTTATAAAATAAAAAATAATTCTAATATGCATATTTTTTTAAATTTTCTATTATGTTATAAAATTTATTAATTTTGATCTAAATCATAAAAATTTATAATTTTAATATTTTATCACATTCATTATAAATTATTTACTTTGATTTCTTTTAAATTGTAAAAACATATTTCAAATATATAGTTTTCGTTTATCGCATAGTTTAAATGATATAAGTTTAAAAGATCTTATAAATTATTTAAATTTATAATTTAAAATTTTTAAACACATCTTTGTTACAAAAATTTAATCAAATCTTTTATGTTTGCCTTAAATGAATGAAGTTTATGTAACTAAAAAAATATAATTTAAAAATTTATTAGAATGAGGGGTAAAATAGTAAGAAAAATTTACTTTAATATAAATTTTAATTAAAAATAATATTTTTAGAATCTCTGTAATGGTACTAATTTATTGGATTAAACTGTATATTTTTAAAATAGAAGAAATGTATGTGTAATTGATGCAAATCAGAAGGGTAGTTAGAGTATTTTACTCTCGAAAAAAAGTGGATAAATGTGAGATAAAGTGAATTGGAGTCACTTTTATATTAAGGATAGAAAGTAACATACTATATATAGTTCTTAATATAAGAGTTAATTGACTAATTTGAGTAAGTTAAGGAAATTAGTTAAGTTAGTTATTTGTAATAAATATGTGTTATTTTTTCTAAAATATCCTTACCAATCAAGTATAGTAGTTATAACTACTATTATTATAAGGATTACTTTTAAAAAAAATAAATAAACCAGAAAAATAAAATAAATTAAGATTTTATATTCAAAACTAAAAAAAAAATTAAATGAGTTCTTAATGAAAGTAATATATTATAGCGAGAAGCTGGGGACTAAAGCTAGCCCAGACCGTTAATAGATGGACTCAGTCACTCGTATAAAGAAGTAGCCTGGATTTTTTCTTTTGGGCGCTCGGGATAATTTTGTTGTCAGGGCCCAAATCAAGCCACCTTTTATTTATCCCTGGGCTTTGGAGCATAATAAAAGTTGGGACCATTATATTAATTAACAAAATAATACTTGTATCAAATTTCTTATATCTATTATATTAAACTTTTCAATCTTATTTTTTAAATATTAATATTTAATAGTATTTAATTATAAATTCATATGAAATAAAAAGAGCACACATAACCATATGTAATTAAAGAATTTAACATAATAGATATAAGGAAGTTTATTGAAGTTTTTTTTGCTAATGAAAAATATTTAGCTCATCAAAAGCACAGCATGTTTTGAATTGCTGTGCAACAGCCAGAGCGGATCATATATAAGCCTCGATCAATTATTGCGGACAAATAAGTAATAGTACCATCTTTGAATTATTGTAAAGTAAACCTGTCCTTTTCCTGGGCGATGCCCAAATGAAAATTGTTCTTTTGTTCTGAAATGATGACCAGTCCTCTTCCGCGCTAAGGACGCTGTTGACGCGGGCGCTAGAGAGACAGAGATCAAATGACGTGAAAAATACACAAGTTCAGAAAATTACATGCCACTATCTTGCATCTAGAAAGTTGAAGTGCGTTCCTAAAGTCTATCAATATTTGATACTCTTTCTGTTCTTAATATATGACTCAATTCTTGAGTTCGTTTTGATTCTAAACATAAGATTAATTTTTCATACTAATCCACTTTTTTTAAATTACCCTTATGGATACTCCCTCAATCATAATCAAGTAGAAGAGAGAGAGGGGTATTAAGAAAGATGATTATGGTGTTTTAGGAAAAATATGTCACATTTCTTATAATTATCTAACTTACCTAATTTTCTTAATTTAATCAAATTAGTTAAATGGGTCTTATATTAAAGATCAGAAGAGTAATAAGAGAGACAAATATATTTGGAACTCCAGGTACTTTAAATCGTTCCAAAAAGACAACAAGATAAATGTGAAAGAAACAATGTGACACGGGTATGTTCCGGACTACCAATGCTGTTATAAAGTGTAATAATTAAAAACTATACTCAGATCAAAAAAATAATTAAAAACTATACACACGCGTTTTGGGATGTTAAGATTGAGAAATGGGCCGAACATTATTGAGATTAATTAGTCGGGCTATTATCATTAGTTAAGAACTAAAGATGGTTTTTGCAGGGAAAAATTTGGTCGGACTGAAGCTAGCTTATTCAGATATTTTGCACGTGCACATTGAGGTAAAGGGCGTAAAACTTCGTTAGATCAACTTGTGCAACTGTTTACATGTTTTACGTCATCTGGGAAAAACACTCTGATCGCGTATTTATTTTATATTTTATAAATCATAATTAAAAAATTATTTATAAATTATTTAGCGGTGTCATTTTTTTTTTTGGCCGCAAGGCCTCGTTTCTCAGACAACTGGCTTTTTGAAATTTTCAAAGATTTTCATTTCAAGTTTCGGACGCGCACCGTCGGTGCGTATTATATATTCACTTACATATAACATCAGAATCTCTCCATGCATGGTTACAGTGTTACGCCATCGGTGCGTCGTGTTTGAAATTAATTTTGCAAATATGATTAATAATAAGGAGCTTCATTAATTAAGCAGTTTTCTTTGACTGTGTGATGTTGATCTGTTTGGTTAAAAAAATAATAGCGCTTTTAAGTCTTTTTCGTTACAAAAGACATATAGCGTTTGGTTATGGTGCTGGTGGTAACAAGAAACTAACGATAATAATTAACAAATACCGCTAGGAACCAAAATAATAATTTATGACTGGTATCGTTTTGAAGATGCTATTAATAATGGCGAATTTTCTCTGTTTATGCAAAGCATGTATTATTAATCACCAACATACTCAAGGTGCTATCCTGATGTAATTTGGAAAAGCAATTATTAATTGTGCGTTACATTTCGCTTCTTCGTTATGTGCCACCAAATTACTTCTACTTAATGTCATTGGGATGTAAATCCATAGATATACGATTTGAAAGAGAATGAAACTTAAATCTGTATCTCATCGGTCACTTTTTCTCAAGGCGTGTCTGGAATCAGTGAGTTAAATAATGTGATTTTTCATATGTTAACAACATGATTAACACTTTAATATACACGTAGAGGCTTGAAGTGCTATTGGCTACTTCTCAGTTCTCATTTACATCTCCGTGGGTGAAATTACCATGCTGGCTCCATTGAGCATCATAATATATATTACTTCATATTCTTAATATAAGAACTAATTAATTTAAGTAAGTTAAAAAAATTAGTTAAATTAATTATTTGTAATAAATTAGTGTTGTCTTTCTTAAAATACCGTTACTAATCAGTTGTATTAGCTAGAACTACCATTTGAAGAAATCTTTAACATGTGCAGTTACTATAAGAACTGTCTTAATAAATATAAGAGACAAAATAGATTAAGTTCTTATAATTATAATCAAATTAAATGTCAAACAAAATCTTATATTAAGTATTAAAGATAGTATTATAAAAGAAGGGAGATCGTATCAATAAATGAAGTAAATAATTTTAATTTTTTAACTCACTCTCCATTCACATTCATGTGGTTTATTGTCTATTATATATCATTTAAGTATAAGTGTAGTTTATGTGTAAGACTATGCCTATAAATAAGGCATGTCATTGTATTGTGATGCAAATGAAGTAAATGAAGGAATGCAATATCATTCTCTCATTTTCTTGTCCACATCTCTTCCTTGATCTGCTTTTTTTATTGGTTAATTCCATAACAATACATTAATCTGTGACTTTTTCCCATTTTTTCCATTGGAAACATCACCGTACGATTGAAGATGCATTGAAATCATCTAGACGGCAAGAACAGTCTAAATTCCTGTAATGAATGGTAGATAGCAGGAAAGGAATTTAAGCTCAAGTAATCCAAATTTGCTTAGTGAAAAGAATATGCGTTGGACGACTAAAACCGGATTCAATTCAACAAAATTATGATCTGAAGAATATGAATTGCTGTAACATCATCGATACCCTGTGTTTTACGTTGGATTTCATTACAGTCGTACCTCGCCTAGCTAATGGCTAGCTTCCCAGCTTGTTTCTTATTTTCATTACTGCTTTTCCTTCATCAGATAACAAGCACCGCCACCCAGCAAACATGCGGAATAAGATTCTGCGGAGACCCGGCATTTGATGGGCCCCCAATTCAGTACCCTTTTTATCTGAAAGGAGTCCAAAGCGATGATTGTGGGTGCCCAAACTTCGGAGTTTTCTGCGACAACCTTAACCAGACATTGATCACGCTCGGAGATGCCGGAGATTTTGTTGTCAAAGAGATCTCTTTGAAGGACCATACAACTTCGATGAATGACCCAGATAACTGCCTCCCCTCACGCTTCCTCAAAGGCTTGGACCGTCAACTTCAACGTTCGCCTTTCCAATGGAGCTCCGATTACGCTCATTTCCTCACCGTCGACTTTCTCAACTGTCTGCCCCAGTGCCTGACTCCTTTCAGTTCCCTCACATCAAGATACCTTGCCTCAGCGGCACAGACGGCGACAATTCCTCGGTGATCGCTGTTTTGTTTGATCCTGCCTCTCCAACAACCTCGAAGTCGTTCCCAGGATGCCGGCAGATTTCCTCGTCCTTAGTTCCAGATGATACTTTCGAACCCGCGTCATGGACAAACCCTTACTCCGATATTCGCTTGAAATGGAACGAACCCTACTGCATACTCCCCTCGTATCCGGATTCTGCTGATGATGACACTACTTGCTATGACAATTTCCCAGGTACGTCCGTACGAATGAAATATATCAGCACGAAAGCTGTTCTTATCTACTGCGAAATTGAATCTAGCCTTGAATATAAAATTTTAATCCTTTTGTTTTTCAAATTTATAATGTTTTTTCTATAATATTTTCATTAATTTTAAGAGATGATTTCACTGTACATGATAAATAAGATAATCTAAAAAAATCAATACATATTAATTAATCAACTTAAAGTCTTAAACTAATTTTTTTAATATCTTTAGATTAGCTATCTAACTCTTATATTAAGAGTCGACTGAGATATTATTTAAATTAGAGAGAGGAACCTTATGTGTTTGTAAATGGTCTGCTTAATTGTTTCTATTTTTGCTTGACTTATGTACTGATGAAAACGAATCGTTTTACGGACAAGGAGAACCTCCACATCACAAACTTTACAAAATATTAGCGGTGGGGGTAGCTGGGACGATATGCTTTGGTGTGGTGGGACTTGCACGTTTATTAGGGACTAAGGTGGGACCGAGCGGCTTGCCACGACGGAGGACGAACGGAGCAGCGTCGGAGAGGAACACGGCGGAATCTGTTGATGTGGGAATGGGGCTTGATGAGTCAGCCATTTAGCAGTATCCGAAAACACAAGTTGGTCACAGTGGAAGATTGCCCAATCCAAGTGACAATGTTTGTTCCATATGTCTGAGCGAGTATGAACCACAGGACACATTGAGAACCATTCCTCACTGTAATCACTATTTTCATGCCCATTGTATTGATGGGTGGCTCAAGAAGAAGGGCACGTGTCCCTTGTGTCGTCATCTTCCCCATGGATCTCCATTGTTGTCCCACCCTTCACCAGCCTCTCATCCATCGCTGACCCCTACTTAAATATATGTATGTGCACGTGCGCATGTTTTATTGGCCATGTAAATGTGTTGTCATCTCCACTTACACACATACTCCTCCGGTTCTTAATATAAGACCTATTAACTAATTTGATTAGATTAAGGAAATTAGGTAAGTTAGTTAATTATAAGAAATGTGACACGTTTTTCCTAAAATACCATATCATCTTTTTTAATACCTCATTTTTCTCTTCTACTTGATTATGGTTGAAGGAGTATCCATAGGGGTAATTTAGAGAAAATTGATAAATATGAAAAATGGGTCTTATATTTAAGACCAAAACCAACTCACTAATTGGGTCCTATATTAAGGACCGGAGGAGTATTTCCCTTCCACTTCTCTATTAAACCAGACACATATAATAATATAATAATAGTAGTAGCAGCAGTGCTAAACTGTGCTTTGACTGTTGCTACATGTCTTTTAACCTATTTGGTCTTACACTAGCAAGCCGCACAATGGGGAAAAAATAAAAGAATCATATCTTTATTCACGGGCTGGGCAAAAATTATTGAGTTAAATGTACGATATATTGACACCAGCAAACTGTTCGTGTTTGATGTTGTCCAAAAGCCCCAAAAAACCTATACGGGTTTGATAGATACCCTCTCCTCCCGGAATATATGAGGGGACCTTGTAAAGGATCTGGATCCGGCAATTTTATCATAGTACTATGAACGGTAAAAATAATTACCTAAATGCTACACCGTGAACATTATTTACTCATATACTACATCCTTTTAAAACTTGTTCATGCCAAGATGAACTTTTACTGTAACAGCTAATTTTTTTCAGGTGAAAAATTGAAACTCGTTCAGGCCATGAGCAAGTTCAAACATCCCCATTTTTATTTTCGGCGGAAATTACAACTAAGGACCCGATTTTATCAACTTCCGTCCTGCGTCCCTGCTTTTAAAATTGTGGAGCAAACTACAGTTAAGATCCCATCTCATCATATCTATTGCTCTTTTTTTTTTTTTACTCTACAACTTCTCTAAAATAGAATAAATATGAGTAGATTTTATAGAAAAATTGCTTTTTATCTTGGTACTTAAATTTAGAAGAAAATATATAAATAAATATTTAAAACTTTAAGTTCTTAAAATAATTTAATAAACAAACACTGAAAACTATCACAGTGAGAGTGTCATGTTAATTCAAGACAAAAAAAATAAAATAGATAAGAATGGGTGTTGGAGAAAATAAGAATATTTTAAGTGATTTTAAGAACTTAAAGTTTTTAATATTTTTATTTAGCTATTTTGTAAAATTTGTGAACCTGTTAAGTTTTAAATATTTTTTTATTTAATTTATTTATATATATTTTCTAAATTGAAGTACTAAGATAAAAAGAAAATTTTTTCTACAAAATCTACTCGTATTTATTCTATTTAGGAGAAGATGTAGAGTAAAAGAAAATAAGCAATATATCTGATGAGACGAGGTCTTAACTGTAATTTGCTCCACGATTTTAAAAGCAGGGACTCGGCGGAAGTTGATGAAATTGGGTCCTTAATTATAATTTTTGCCGAAAATAGAGATAGTTGAACTCATTCCTAAACGAGTTTCATTTTTTCACCTGAAAAAATTAGTTGTCAGAGTGAAAGTTCATCTTGATATGAATGAGTTTTAAAAAGGTGTAGTATATATGTAAATAGTTTCCACGGTGTAGCATTTGGGTAATTATTTTTACTGTATATAGTGTTCTAATAAAATTGTGATCTTGATCCTCTCTCGTACGCTAGAGGACTCGCACGTCACTATAACCAATTTTAGCAGGACATATGTACACACAACTTTCTATTTGTCCAACTTATTGACTGGTTATCACTCTCATCTTTAGGGCGAGCTTTTCCTCTCCCGTCCTTGGAACGCTCTTAAGGCGGTGGAAGTCGTTGTTTTCTCGTCCTTGTGTGAGCCATGGTCACGGCGTGTCCCTCCTCAGCAGTCTCCGCCGAAGGAGGGGATATCCGTCCTTTGTGTCGTCCGTTCTTTCTTTTTTTGTGGTGATGGGTTTTCTATGGTGGTGTTCTTTATCTCTCCGGCAATAATCAACCCTTGTGGGTTTTGATTCCGACGTGCTTGCTTTGATAGTTATAGACCAAATCTCGACAATATGGCTTGGATGTACATTTTTGGGGGAAGCGCACTGTTGGTGACTATCTCTGCTGCCTTTTGTTCTATCTTTCAGATGATAGTTGTTGGTCTTGTTTGGCGGGGGCGATTCAAAGTTGTTAGTGTTAGGTATATGAATTATCAAGCGGGGTCTATAAGTGGGTGGCTGACAGTGAGCTCTATCTTTTCTCCGGTGCGGTATAATTTGGCCGGTAACTGTAGGTGTCAGCTTCTACGTGTTCTCCCATAACCGTAACAACCATTCTTGGTTGCTTCTTAGCCTACAAGAGGGGTGGGTCCTTTGGGGGTGGTTGTTTCAAACCCCCACCCCTTACTTTGGCATCAGTGCCGGTGATGACATTGTCTCCCCACGGATTCCGGCAAATCAACGGGGATCCTCTCTAGTGAACTTGACAGCAGCTTCTCTTCTAGTTTTGGTGACGGGTTAGGGTTTTTGTTTGGGCTATTAGCTCGATGGCCTTTCTTTGTTGGTCTTTTATGGGACTGCATTCCGTGCTCAGCGTTTTGAGTGCTGGAGGAGTGGAAGAGTAGCTGGGGGTAGAAACAGGGCAGGTCAGGCCTCACTCTTAACAGGCCTGGCCTGTTACGAGGCCTGTTGGCCTGAGCTTGGCCTGCGACCTGTGAAAGGCTTTTTAATCGGCCTGAGCCTAGCTTGTAATCAAGTCTGGCCTGTGGCTTGTTAAGAGGCTTTTTTTTAATAAATTTTAAACACACATAAATCAATTCAAAATTATAATAATTCAACCTAATTGATCTAAAATGCAAACAAAAACTATGAAATTATCAAATTAACACAATTTGTAAAACATGTCCCATTAGGCCAAAAAAGAAATCTAATATGAAGAATTATTAGAAAACATAATTTCATTCTGATATAAAAATATCACTTCATCCTATCTTTAGTATAAAAATTAGTTGATAACTAGATCTAGTTTAAAATATGAAACATCCTTAATCCCTTTTATATTTTAAATTTATCATTTATTCAGACTAATTTACTAACAAAATGATATTTGATCTTGTTGTTACACATGGTTGTTTTAAAAAAATGTTACAGTTGTTATAATTTATTTATTTATTTAGATTAATTAAGTAACTATTATAATAAGAATTAGATTGAGCACACATATATACGGTCTAAAACATAATAGGTCAATTATATATATATATATATATTCTATAAGCATCGATCAAATAAATGAATGATGCTTTTTTTTAATGCACTTATGTTTTCTTTCTCTGTTCAAATATTTGTTATTATACATATATCAATTATTTTTATTATAGAGAATGAAAATGAAATGACGCATGCAATAGGCTCTAGATAACATGTTTATGTGGATCGAGTTTTCTCAATTAACCAATCAGAATAGCAAAGTCCCTCCTATCAATTTATAATTTTAACATTAAAAAAAAAAGATAACAGGCCCAGGCCGCCTGACAGGCCTAACAGGCCTACTATTAGGCTTGAGCCTGGCCTGATAAAGCAAATAGGCCTTTTTACAGGCCTGAGCCTGGTCTGATATCTAAATGGGTCAGGCCATTTACAGGCCAGGCCACAGGCCCTTGACAGGCTGCCTGGCCTATTTCCACCCTTATGGAGGACCTTAGTTTTTTTTTTTGGCTTTTCTCTCTCTCCATATTCATCACCCAAAAAAATTATTTTCAGTATTTAATATAAAAGTTTGTTTAATTTTTATTTAAGTCATAAATATAAGATTCTAATATATTTTATCTCTCATATTTATCCATTTTTCTCAAAGTAGTCATTTTAATAATGGTGGTTTTAGCCAATACATTTGATTAGTAAAGATATTTTAGAAAAAACAATACCTATTTATTACAAATAATTAATTTAACTAGTTTTTTTAATTTACTCAAATTAGTCAACTAACTCTTATATTAAGGACATGAGGTAATATATATTAAAATTATTTTTGGATTAAATTTCATCCAATACTCTAAAATATTTTTTCATCTGTATTTGGTAAAAACAATAGATGCATCTGAAAAATATTTTAAAGCGTTAGATGAATCATAAAATATTTTAGGATACTTGATACATTAGACAAAATATTTAAGGATGATGGATGAATCAAAAAATATTTCTATGATGCTGAACTTGTCTAAAAAATAATTTAGAATGCTAGATAGTTGTATCAGAAAATACTTTAAGATGTGAGATTCATCTGAAAAAAAATATTTCAACGTGCTGGATGAAACACAATACTTCAAAATAACGAACATACCTGAAAAATATACTTTAAAGTACTAAATGCAGTTTAAATAAAAAATAATTTTCATGCATTTTTTTCAATAAGAAAGGTCAAAAAGGGGAAAAGGCAAAAAAAAAAACTCATTGGCTGGTCAACGTGGTAATCTTCCAGAGGTCGATGTTACAGATTAGTCCTGCACAAAAATTCCGAGTAAATGCTCAAAAGTTGGTCAAACTCCCGATCGCTGGCAGAAGTCCAATCAGACATACCCCATATATAACGAAATTCCCATTCAGTTCCCTTTCCAGCTGGTCAGAGACGAATTAGCGAATGGAAGCAACACTCGTTGTGGATACCCTGGTTTTGAACTTTCCTGCAACAAAAGCAGAACGATGCTTCATCTCCCACACGCTGGAGACTTCCTGGTGGATTTAATCTCCTATGAAGAACAAAAGCTTTGGATCAGAGACCCCGATGATTGCCTCCCCAGACGATTCATGAACAAAGAATTCAACTTCACAGATTCCACCTTCCAACTCAGCGATGATTATAGCCTTATGGACTTCACCTTTTTCAACTGCTCCTCCAACGTCACCTGGCAGTACCGACTTCGACCCATCCCTTGCTTAAGCTCTGACCTCAACCAGAACTATTCGGTGGTCGCTGTTTGGTCAGATCCTCCCTTTCCTACGCCAGGGGTCGAGTGGTGTGAGCCCATTTCCTCTGTTACAGTTCCCTTTTCTATCACCAATACACTATACTCGGTGGACCGGAACGCTCATATAGGTTTGCAATGGAACACTCCAAGCTGTGGAGCCTGTGTGGCGAAGAATGGACGGTGTGAGTTCTTGAAGAATACAGGTCTTGAAGTCGCTTGCTATTTACCACACCAAGGTATATATATATCCCTTAATTCACACAAATAGATATGCGCCTCTTTCGATGGCTGATAAAGATGATACTAATGATTTTAGATATATACTTGTGAAGGTGGTCTTTCAAAGTTTGCCAGCTATGGATTAGGCTTTGGAGTGGGAATTCCTGGGTTGCTCAGTGTGATCGGAATCGTGTACATGTGTAAAGGGAGGCGAAGAAGGAACGAAGATGGAAGGCAAAGCAGAAATATTGAACTGAATAATGTCGCAGGGTGGTCGTCTATAGTAGTTATGGGGCTTGATGGAGAAAGCATAGACAAGTATCCGATGACCCGGATTGGGGATAGTGGACGATTGCCCGACCCGAACAACAACGTTTGCTCTATATGCCTCAGTGATTACCAACCCCAAGACAGTTTGAGGACAATCCCAGATTGCAATCATTACTTTCACGCCAATTGTATAGATTCATGGCTCCGCATGAACGCTACTTGTCCCTTGTGTCGAAAATTACCCCACCACTCGTAATTATATTCCTCTTTGCCTCTCTTGTTCTTGGCATTTCACAGTTGCTTATGGTTCATTTTTTGTGTTTAATTTGTAGCTAGGAAATTGGTTTTGGGCTTGTGGTATTGAATTGTAAAGTGAAAAGCATATATCTGATGCAGAAGGGTTCTGTATCAGAAGCAATTCATCCACATCACTACTGAACTGTTGATTGTCAATGCCCTATAGTTGCATCGTTAATTTATTAATTATGTCTTATCAGGAAATAAAATTTAATACGACTAGCTAGTTTATTTAGGCTGCTGATCAAAATAAAAGTTGAATTGGTCATGCTCGCCTCCAGAGTCACGGTATATTTGAATAAAATATGTGACTGAGAAATAAATAAATAATGCAAACCTTGTAATTAAGTAGGGAGAGGTTGGTCCAACGGTCATTTTACTCTGTCGATGGCAGACTCGTTTTTAGAGTCACAAAGAGGAGCGGATGCTAATTAAAGTGCGGACCCCAAAAAAAAAAGATGATTGTTTTCCCATTAATTAATCATTCTTTCTTTCGAAAACTGGCGACACATCATGATATCTTACCATTAATAGATAATAGATAAAATAGGTAGATATGAATGATGGAAAAAATTATATGATTAATAAAATTGCCAATATTTTTATTTTTTACTAGTTAATTAAGAATATTAACGGTTGAAGAGTAATAAAAGGAAGAGTGATTAATTTTATTTTTGAACATAACATCTATACCAGCTTCTCAATCAAAGGTGACGTACGTGGAATTGAACTCCAACACGTAATCGACCTGCTTGGCGCGTGGTTTAGAGATATAAGGTTAAAAAACCAAGCAGGCTTTGACTTCAGATTCAGATAGCAAGAACTGGTTGGGTGTTTGTTTGAGAACTGGGGGGAGAGAGAGAGAGAGAGAGAGAGAGAGAGAGAGAGAGGAAGGGCCTTTACGGATCACCATATTTGACCGGCCGGGGTTAGGTCGGGAAAGCTGCTTAGAGAAGAATTCAATTAACCCAAAGGGTTGGTTAGCTGTGGAGCGAGAGATGCACCCACAAGCAAACCAGTTAAACCATGCATTAGTCAGAAGTTGATCATTCTAGTCCCTGTCGTCTTTGACGCGTTGGACAGTTACTGGGGAACTCCCTCTGTTGCATTGCAGTAATCTATTCATGGCCAGTCATTGACACAGATAAAATAGAATGATTTCTGAGGTCCCACTAATTAAGCTTAGCTTCAACATCATCACCCTCCTCCCCTTGTCTGTGTCAAACAAAAGAGGAGAGCTATACAACAATAATAGGCAGCTTCATCTCTCTGAAATGACTCCCTTATTAGCCTCTCTGTTGTTATTATTATTGTTACTGATAATCCCGGGCGCAACTGTGGCTGAAGAAGTGGAGCCTTGCACGAGCAGGTCTTGTGGAGGAATCGAGATCAAGTTCCCTTTCGGTCTAAGAGGAGTCAACCAGAGTCGTCGATGTAGCTACCCAAAGTTCAGTGTTTGGTGCAATAATCAGAGCCAGACCATCTTGACGCTGCCAGAATCAGGCGACTTGGTGATCAACGACATCGATTATGCCTCCCAAACCCTTTGGGTCAACGATCCTGGTCAGTGCCTTCCAAGACGGTTCTTGAAGGGTCTCAACCTTTCTTCAGCTTCGCCCTGCCAACTCGATCCTGACCTTTACAATCTCATCAACCTCACCTTTCTTCGTTGCCCTTCCAACTTGACGCAGAGTCTACTCACTTCAGTTCGTTGTCTTAACGATCCTGCTAATTCCTCTTTCGCTGTGACGTACGTTTGGATGCGATCCATTCCTCCGCCTTGGAATGAATCTTGTGAGGTCATTAATTCTTCTGTCCCCTACCCGGTTTCCGCCATAGACCCGTGGTCTTTCTGGGTCGATATCGGCGAGGATTTACAGTTGACGTGGGGCAGGCCACGTTGTGGCCTCTGTGAATCTCGAGGACAAGATTGTGGATTCGCCGAGCGTATGGGGCTCCGAACAGGATGTTTCTCTCGTTCCCAGGAAAGCTCAGGTACCCTCCTCTCTGTCTCTCTCTGTTCTTATTGTTTCCTAAGATCATCGTTCTGATCGCCTAAGTTTTATTTGATTAGTCGAACTCGACACAGTAAAGTTAACTACATTGTTTTCTCCTCCATCAGTTAGCATGTTCCGGAGCTATTAAGTTCTAACAACTCCAATTCGTAGGCATGAAACTGTGCTAACAGTGAATTGATTCTCCAGATTCTGTTTCGCACAATGAATTCCTTAGTTTTGACATGAAAAAACACTCAAATATGCGGTTTAATTCGTGAAATGCCAAAGTTTTGGGTTTAAATTTGAAATTTGTGATATGTGTAGTTAATTAGTGGTTAGCGTCAGTTGGAGACTAAACTGGTCCAGGTGATACAGATTTTCTATTGTTCAAAAATCCTGGGGTGGTTGGAGATTGAAGCGGTCGTGACTCGTGCCATTGTTTCAAAAAGAAGGGAAGAATTAGGATCAGATAATTTAAGCGAAGTTTTGCCGTAGGATAGATGCTTACTTACAAGAGCCCGCGGGACCCATGAAAATTTAAAACATTTTTTGAGGTGGAAAATTGGGAACCCTTGGCTTGTTACTTGTTAGGTTGGGGTCTATATGCGTACATCCCTGTCATCCTTTAAAAAACCATAAGAACATACTACTATTTCTGGTCTAAATTATAAAATTTTATTTATAATCTATAAATGAGATTTTATAATTAATACTCCTCCGGTCCTTATTATAAGACCCAATTTGACTTTTTATTTGGTCCTAATTATAAGACCCAATCCATTTTCTCTCTTATATTTATGCATTTTTTTCCAAGATAATCCTTCTAATAATGATAGTTTTAGCCAATATACTTAATTAGCAAGGATATTTTAGGAATAACAACACTTATTTATTATAAATAACCAACTTAACTTACTTCCTTAATCTCCTCAAATAAGTCAATTGGGTCTTATAATTAGGACCGGAGGAGTACTAACATTTTTACCTTCCGACAAGTTGTTGACCATTTGAAAATTCTACGCGGGCATTAGTAATTTAGTATAGGAGATATAAGACAATATATCCACACACCTCACATTCCCATTGGTCATTGGTGGTATATCAAAGGAGAAATCATTTATATTTTTTTGCAAATTTTTCCAATCACCTATTTTTTATTTATTTAAAATATAAAGACTAAAAAAAATTTAAAATTTTAATTATTATCTTCGATCTATTTAATTTTGAAATTTTTAAAAAATCGTTAAAATAAAACATTGAATTCATTATAATTAAGACAATACTTGTATTAAATTCTTTATAAGCATTATGTCAGGTCCTGCAATCACGTATGACCACCATAGCTCATGTGTGATTGGAAAACTTGACACTATGAATATAAGGAACTTGATTTAAGTTTTTTTTCTTTTATAATTACTATTTTTGGACTGATAGATGAGTCATTTTTTTTGTCGGTACACCAAAAAAAAAAGATCCATTGATTAAGGGTACATTTGAAAATTTGAAACAGGTATTCCAAAAGGCGTAAAATATGGGCTAACGATAGGAGTGGGAATACCCGGAGTCCTGTGTTTAATTGGGCTCGGTTGTATCATATGTGGCAAGATACGACGTCGTCGGAATACGAGGCCCAGCACAGATCTTCCTATCACAGCATTTGCTGTCCAGTCCAGCCCATTTAGAATGGGCCTCGATGGGTCCACAATAGAAAAGTATCCCATGACTCTTCTGGGGGAGAGCAGGCGGCTACCGAAGCCCAATGACAACATTTGCTCAATATGCCTGTCGGAGTATGAGCCCAAGGAGGCCTTGAGAACCATACCCGATTGCAATCACTATTTTCACGCCCACTGTATAGATGAATGGCTCAGGATGAACGCCACGTGTCCCGTTTGCCGGAATTCACCGACATTCACACCTTCTTCTGCTTCTGATTCGGCTTCATCATCTGTGTCCCCTTCTTCCTCCATATCCTCTTCACATTAGATAAATTTATATTACTTCCTTGTTGAGATTTGAGGTGCATGTTCCATTGTTCCTGCTTGTATTATACGCCGTACGAATTTCATCACGATTTATGTGTACACACTAGCATTCAGATGATTTTATTAATTGCCACTGGAGTATAATCATCTTTTAAAGGAGACAATTTTACTGTACTCCATTTAGTGAAAAAGGTCAACTGCAGTATGTTTATAAGAATTTTTTTTTGGACAGGTATGTGTATAAGATGATTAAGCAGATTGTAATTTGGTTTAAAATTTTAGATAAGTGCATTAAAATTATGGAAAGCTGGTTCAAAATAACATACTAAGGGAGTGTTTGGATAGAAACCAAACCATGATTTCAGAAGTGCTTTTACGGATTACGAAGTAAATATGTGGAGGAGGTTACCTCGTTTTGCGGAAAAGTGTTTCTGAAACCACGGTTTTGGAGCATCCAAACAGGCCCTAAGAATTTGATTGACACTTGAATTTGAGTAAGGTGTAATTTTTATTCAGCATTTTTCAACACATCTTCTATGACATGCAATAACTTTCATTTTAAGAACTTTTGCATATAATTAAAGGTAAGATATACTATTTCTGTCCTAAATATAAAACTCTTTTTATAACTATAAAAAGAGTTTTATATTTAGAATCAAAGGAGTACAAAACTAAAATATGATACTAATTGACAATGAGCTACACCAAATCTTTTTAGCTGAATAACTTTTCAAACCGAAATTTGTAAGGAAAAATTAAGGAAAAATAATTTCATTGAAGATTTTATTAATAAGACTTTCATAAATTTTTATACAAAGAAAATACTGTAAAAGTTTATACATATAAAGTAGTAATACTTTAATTTAAATCATTCTCAATAATAAAATTTCAAACGTTAAAATAATTCCTTCAAGTCAAGAGGCTCAGAATTTCAGATGCTCTTTTTTAAAAAAAAAATTTTAAAAATAGTTGACGGATGAGATATTTGTCTCGACTCTATTGGGCGGCTGAGAATGCTACCGCACCGTTATCCTTTATGATCCTGTACGCGCATTGTATCCCTTACTTGGCTTCGCCTGCCGCCTCTCGTTTCTGATCTCCAGCAACACCCAGAATGGAGCATCGGCGCGAAAGGTTAGTTCAGTGAGACTTCCGTTATCTCCTTCCAATCTTCTCCATCCCTGCTATGACTTTGACCACGTGCGCTGCTCGCTTCTCTCGGCTTCTTCCTCCTTCTCCTACTTCTCCTCCAAGTCTCCCTAAACTTTGCGAAACATGCGCTCTTCACTGTGACAACAATTCTTTTCTGCCTCGGCTTCTGGGAAGTTCCTCAGTTTCGTTCAATATATCGAAATTCATCAAGGCTAAAGCTTCTGTGAGCGAGAGCGATCATGAGATTTCAGAAAACAACGTTTCCGAGTTATTGGACCAAGAGTTGCTCGCAAGAATTGCTGCTGCTGAAGACGCCAATGAGGCATTGCAGATGATCGCTGAAAGGTCTAGAAAAGATGAAGGTGTCGTTTGCACGGCTGATTGTTGCTCCATTATATCAGCGGCACTTAATCGAAACAATGCAGAGCTGGCTTTGTCGGTATTCTTCGCTATGCGCGCCAGTTTTAATCAAGGTTATTATGATTACGGTTGGTAACTCTTCCTTCAGTATTCGATATTTTGCTCCACTAATAACTCTTTCTTGGCCTCAACAGAACCAAACTTCCCAAGGAAACTAAAAATTAAATTTAAACCAACCAGGAAGAAATAATAAAATAAAGACGACTTAGCTCCCAATCTAGCCGTTACGGAGGACGTAATGAGCAGTTCTACATATTTCACGCTCTAGATATATAGCCCACCGTGAACGCTCAAGAATGATAATTAAAAATCAAAAGCACGCTGTAACTGTCTTGGAAGATTTCCCTTCTTGCCTTTGTTGTTAGCGGGTTTTAACATTTGGAACACAAGTTGCTGATCTAGATTACAAAATACAAACGTGAAACTCTAGAGGTTTAAATTGCGTCTGGTTTAAGATTTCTTTTACCGTCCTGTTGGTTTAAGATGATATTCTTTGCCAGCTGAAAGCTGATTTTCTGAGAACCGATGTGGTAGTTACGTTGTGAATTCACTTTGTTCTTTTGCTTTTGCTTTTCAATTGGATAATGCTGATGCTGATGTGCCATGATCAGTTGCTGAGGACGGTCCTTTGATTAAGAGATGGAGGTGGTCTAGGCCAAATGCACATGTCTATACATTGTTAATTCAGGGTCTTGCATCATCATTGAGGGTTTCAGATGCTCTTAGGGTGATTAAATATATTTGTGAAGTGGCAGCATCTCCTGGTGAGGAGGTATGATTAAAACATCTCTATGTCCTGCCTTTGTGCCTCATATACTGTACTAGCCTCATTTATGATTTTAACTTAAAACCATCTCCCACTTCATTGATGTTTTCAAAATTATATTTATTTATGGCTTTGTTATTGATGCTTTTAATATTACTGTTATCATAACTCTGTGGATATTTTTGCAGGTTCCTTTTGGAAAGTTAGTCAGATGTCCTAGTTGTAGGATAGCCGTTGCTGTTGCACAGCCACAACAAGGTATTCAGGTATTTCCATGTGTTCTTTGCATGTTAGACCCCTATGTCACAAATTTGATGCAGCTGCATCTGATTAGGGAGGCAGATCTACATTATCACTCCAGGATAACAAAATTAGGACATTTTTATTACTTCGTTGACATATTCTTTAATGTATTTATCCCTATCTCTTTGGATATCTTTGTAATTTTAATCATTTTAAAGAAACACAAGCACACCTCATTGGGATAATAAATTGAGAATAAGAGTAAGCTTAGGTTCAGCATCCATCCAGTGCACTAGAAAACTGCCTATTCTTTGCCACCTCTTCCGCAAATAAAATTATAATTCATTAATCCTAAACCTTGCCAAAATTTTAATCTTGGTATGCTTACATCGACTCAAATGTGCTATAGTAGTGCCTTAGAAGGAAGAGCCAAGGGGGAAAAAAAAATTTTAACTATTATTTCGTAGAGGTTTCATCCTTAGATTACTCCCTTTCTTTTCCATCAGGTTTGTTTGAGAATGATTAAATATACTTGAGTAAGTAGGGCCATCTATAGTTATTGTCTCATCAGCATAATTCTTACATGGAAATAGGGAATGTTGTGATCCTAGCTTGGCATAGCAAGCAGTACTACCTCCGGTCCTTAATATAAGACCCTGTTTGACTTTTATTTTGGTCCTAAATATAAGACCCTAATCCACTTTGTCTCTTATATTGATGTATTTTTTTTCAAGATAGTCCTTCTAATAATTATAGTCCTAGCCAATATAATTGATTAGTAAGGATATTTTAGTAAAGACAACACTTATTTATTACAAATAACTAACTTAACTTCTTTCCTTAATCTCCTCAAATTAGTCAACTGGGTCTTATAATTAGGACCGGAGGTAGTATTATTTTGCGGTTGATTCTCTCACATTTATATGCGTATAAAACTCTCATAATTATATGAAACTTCTAAGGTGGACGCAAAATAATATTTCTTATGCAGTTGGTATCCTGTGCAAAGTGTCGCTACCAATATGAACTTGTTTCTGGTGACATAATCTGTATTCAATCAGAAGAAATCAGGTTGGTTAATCATAGCATTCCGTTTACTATTTTCTTTCTGTCTACTCAACTAAAAACAATTCTCCTAAAATTAATTTTTGGTGGACATGGCTAATTTGTATTTTCTAAACTTTTTTATTTATTTTTATTATATTGAGAATAAGGAGGGAGGATACATAAGTTATAACTTCCTTTTTCAGATTCAAGTTTCTACTAGTCCACAAGACCAGTAGCTTTAGCAGGAAGCAACACAATTGAGATTTTCCACTCTGTTTATTTTTGTTGATTGAACAATATGCATGCGTAGTTAATCAAGGAATACTCACTTTGCCTAAGGATATCCTCATGCCGAACGCAGCATGGATATTACGCCATGGGAAAGGGGGTTAAAATTCCTTCAACTGAAGAAGCAAAGCTTTCCTGCTGCAGTTCATTCTATTGTGGTACTCACTTTTCACTCACTTTTGATGTTTATCATTGGGTCTACCTTTGATTAAATAATCATGCATGGGGACCTTTACATGACATGTCCATGTTGGTTATTAAGTTCAGAATCCAGCTATGGAATGAACATCTTTTGATGCATCAATTTTTCTACATTTCTAAGTTATGATAGCACATCCTTCTGCTGGTAGCAACTTCAGTAAATAAATAAATAAATGAAAAAGTTGTGACCTTTGCAACTATTCTGATTTTTTATTTACCTGTCTTCTAGCCATCTCACTATTGTTGTTAGCTCTTTACTAAGAATTTAAAACATCTGGAATGGTTACTTCATTATAGAAGTTGAAGCTTATGATTTCAACCATTTCACCCCAAGTACGATCTCTCTTAGAGGCATGTGCACTTAATGGTTCTATTCCTGGCACAGTTGTAAAGTTTTTTTTTTTTTTTTTTTTGGGGCTAGTCTTTACAGCACAGGTACCACAAATTTCTGTGTCCGGCACCACATTCTTGTTTTGTGGTGTATGTTTCCCATCTTCATTAGTCCTTTTTGTCTGTCCTTTAACTTGCTATTTGTTTGTGCTATGATGGTTTCTTATCAAACGGGGTGCTGGCCTCAGAAATTTTGCTCATGTCCATTCTTCTAGATATTAATAGTCATTTCTTAAATTATTTTCATTAATTCTTTATTCTCCCACCATCCAGGTGCAGACCCCTTCAGGGATGGCTCGTACGCATAGATTTGCCACTGAAACAGTTGATGTGCCAGCGCAAGTAGGAGAAAGGGTAACTGTTGCTGTGGCAGCTCCATCCAATGTCTATAGAGAGGTGGGCCCCTTTAGGTTTAGTCCTAGGGCCCCTGATTTCTATCCTGGTGAGGCTATGTGTTTGACGAACCACAAAGATGGCCGAGAATCACTTCTGTTAAGAGCCCCAAGAAAGGAAGGAGATTCATCATTGCTTAAACCCTCTTTCCTCTTTCCTCTTCTTGCTGTATTTGCAACCGGTGATGCTGCATCTGGACTTATTGACCCCAGCCTGCCCCAGTTTATATCAGTTGTTGCAGTTTCATCTCTTGCTGTTGGGGCAACATTAAATTCTTTTGTTTTCCCCCGGTTGAATCAGGTACTTTATTTATTTATTTATTTTTTTGGTGAAAAGTTGAATCAGGTACTTTAGTTCTTTCTTTTAATATTATTTTCCTTATTTGTTTTTTTCACATGCGACTCTTGTAACTTATTATACTATTGTAATCTATTGAAATCAGCATGGCTTCATTTTCCTTTGCACCCACTGCCCCGTACCCATATATCCGTCAATTTATTCTGAATATTATAAATAAAGCCATCAATTTAATCTACATCTATTTATTTTTTACATGGTGGCAGCTTCCACAAGGATCAGTCGAAGCAATTGCTATCAAACAGCAACTTTTATCTCAATATGATGTGCTTCAGTCTCGCATCAAAGACCTAAAAGAAGCTTCTGAAAAAGAGGTGTGCTACTTGCGTGATTTTTCATTAGTACATTGAATTCTGGCTTTTTTCTAAGCCTTTCTCCTTCCGAAGTTTTCTATTTCTTCTATTCTTCCACTCCAACTTCCCTGTAGAGAAAAATTTGTTAGCATGCATTTACATTCTGGACATCTCATGGTCTTATATTTAGAACATGGGTAGGTTTGTTTGGGGAATCTGATTAATCACCAAGGAAGGATGTGACGTAAAGTCTGCTGACGTGAGATCATGATAACGAAGTCTATCCATCTAGCTCCTTTTCTTTTCTATTGCAATAAGCAGAAATATCGTTTTAGATCATCCAAGATTGAAATTGAAGGACGATATTATAAAAAAAAAAAAAAAAAAAGCTCTTTCAGTCGGCTCCTAACGTCAGTTATATTAATTTTTTTTCTAAGTTCACTCTAAACTGCCGTCATGTTCAAACATTACTTTGTGCTGTAATTGGTCTTCTGGGCTTGCATCGCACATGTTCACCCAACAGGCATGTCTATGTGCATGCATAATGTGCGCCACATGGAAATCTGATGCACATTTTTGCATATGAACAAGAAAACATCATTGGAGTTGTGATGGCTCAAGGTATTTCATTTGCCACGATATAGCTTTATCAGGCTTTTAATATGTAAGTGGCATCGTATGTTTGAGTAGCAATCAATCAATCATTTTCCAAAGACGAGTTCTTAAACTTTGAATGCAGAAATTTATCATTTAAGCAAACTATATAATTTATTTCTGGGCAATATAATTGTAAATTTTAGATAAACGCCCCTAGTAGCCTCTGGATATGTTCTGAGCAAAGCTCATTGGGTGGTGCTTCTCACTTATAAGGCTGAGGTTATATATTTCATGAAAATTTATTCGATGATAATGCCTCCTCTGATTCAAAATAATTATCATGTAAGGCTATCTACATAGATTGAGAAAACTAATAAATAGTCTAGACTTTAGATTATAGCAAAATCTAAAGATTTTTTATTAAAATATTAAAAATATCATGGCGCTTACTCTACCTACCATTAGTTTCATAGAAAAATGGCACAAAAAATTGTTAACGTTTCATTGAAATTCTTAAGCAACAATTATTTTGAAACAAGGCTAAAATTAAAGGCAATAATTATTTTGAAATGGAAGGAAAAATAATTTGTTCTTTTTCTCCTTTTGTAGGCATGCATGTACCGTAGTCTGAGTCATACAAATATGATTTTTCTCTGTAGGTATGGATGCTGGCTCGAATGTGCCAACTGGAAAACAAAATTTCTGTCGTTGGAGAACCCTCATATCGGTGAATTACCATTGCCTTCTCTTCTTGATTCTCACTGTACCCCTGAAATTACTGTTTTATTCCGTGTAGATAACCATTTATGTTGGTCTGCTCAAGTTTTTTATTTTCTCATTTCCCCTTCTTCTAGGGCTCGTAAAAGTAGAATCAAGAGGGTACAAGAGAGCTTGCAAAAGTCCCTCACGGGACGGATTGAATTGATTGACAGCTATGCCAGAGTAAGGCTTCTCTGACAATTCAAATCTTGTATGGTTCTGAGGTTTAGAAAACCTAGCTTTCCTGGTTGTGTTTTTGAATTAGTTCCGTCAAAAAATGCAAGTTGAGAGTACTTTGTGGACAGATCTCTTCAATGATTGAAATTGAGGTGGAGATGGACACTGATGTTCCCGCAGCAGAAACTGCCAGCAATGCGGTAATTCTGTCATATTTATCTTGGGCGACGACTGATATTATATTGGTATGACTGGGATAATTGCTCAACTGAGGACTTCTGTACAGGATAGTATCATGGAACAGATACAACAAATCATGGAGCTTGAAAATCTTGAGGAGGTATGTTCTTTTTACATGGAAGCCTCGTATCTGACATTGTAGACCTGAATATGGCCTCAATAATAAACATTCACAAAAGCGTTTGCTCAGAGTGCTGTACTGCTTAGACTAAAGAAGTGGAATGCCAACAATAAGCTTTTTCTTTTTTCTTTTTTTCTTTTTGAGTTGTCTCCCTTGGATATTAGTTTTGCTCTCTTTTGTAAACCAAAAGAAACAATGAGCTTTTGTTTGCATTAACAGGAAATGTAGGATGAAACCATTGTTTTCCCCTTCACATGCAGCTTTAGGAAAGCCATTAGGATTTGCCTCCTTCATAACTGACTGAGCGACCGTAGTATGAGTGCTAACTTTATATGATAAAGGGAGAATTAGCTTCCCAATTTCGTACAGTCTTAAAAGTGAAATCCTGTTTTAACGAGGACGTCATTGTGATAATAACCATGTTACTCTTCTCCAATCAAACCATGTGCTCATTCTTCCATTGCCGCTAGCCTTTGCCTTTTTTTCCCTGGCGACCCTACTAATTATATGCTTTGATGCAGAGATGGAAAATACAAGTCGAAGCCAATGATGAGGCCGAAAGACTTCTTAGCTCACAGCCCTTACCTGATGAAGAAGTTTAACCATGTTCAGACGCACCGGGTTTATACGGCTGCATCATTAGGTGAGTGTCAATTCCCATTTCCCAGTTTAATGATCTACATTTGACAGAATAATAGAGTGCAGCATCCTGTTCCCTCTGCCTTGTAACAAACAACGTTAGCCAAGTTGTTTCTGACAAAACGGTCGCTGTTATGTCTCGCTTGCGAAATAGGAGCGGACTTGTATCCGATGAAATGGGATGGCGTGGCATCTGAAAAGGGCCACTAAAGATGGGCCTTCTGTCTCCAGAAGCCGAGCGTGGATCACAGGTCACAGCACATAGTGGGTAAATTCATTTTAAATCATCTTGGTTGCACTATTTTACAGATGAGCAGGCCTTTTAAAGCCATAGTATATTAGGGATTATTATTTATTATCGAGTAATCATTGTTGATCTTTCCTATAATGTGCAAGCAATTCTATGCCCAATTATTGCTGGTATTTAAAAATGGGGTTCCTCGTGGTTGTAGCTATGCGCTCATGCTGGTCTAGCCTCATCTTAACTTACTATTTTTTTTTAAAAAAAAAAGTGGAATAACACATTTTATTCCAAAAGTGAAGTAATAATCCTTCTTTAGTTGGCAACAAGCTTTCAGGAATAATCAATAAGTGAGCCAGTTAGTTATGAGTCTTTTAGTCTGATATAACTGCCGCCCTTGCAACTCACAGTTGTCCGCTCAAAAGCTTATTTCCATTTTTAGTAGTTAAAATGAGGAAGGGAAAAAAAAAACACTTATGGATATGAAATACAAAATATAACTATCGAGTTACATTATTCATAAATTATCTGTATCTAAAATTATTCATAAATTATAAATGGTGTAATTTCTCTCAGTCTCTATGTAATTTTATTTTTATTCTTTCATTTCTTTTTTTTGGTTTGTCACATGAAAGGATATTTAGTTTACAGGGGAAAAAAAGATGTTTTCCCTCTAAATTATGAGCAGGAAGATTTGGAATTAAAAACCATCAATATATAAAATTTATGAAATAAGTCGTGAATAAATTGGTTTATTCTTCAAACTGATACCTATAAATTAAAATTTAAATCAAGGCGCCTCTACTCAAAATAAAAAATTCAAAATAACTTATATAAATTTATTTACCTTTTATTGACCCTATATTGAATATTTTTCCCCCCAAAAACGTGTAAGGAAGGGCTCGGGATAACTCAAACCTATTAGGATCCCAAATTCCATGAATAAAAAACTGATGAGAAGTGTCTTGTGAGTAGGAGAATTGATTTTCACTTGGTAAACTTTTGCCCAAAAAAAAAATTAAACATGCCTATAAGAAATTGAAATTGCGTATTTATATTTGCCAGAAAACAAAATTATGAAGAAATTAAGATAGCATGATCATATTTCATTATGTAGCAAGACACTGCTCTTTTTTTAAAAAAAAAAAACCAAAAAGATCCTTCAATACAAAACGGATAAACCAATGAAAAACCTGATGGGAGAAAAAACCAAAATTCAAAGGCCAGGAGAACAAATGGAGCAACAATCGAGCCGCCCCAGTTGGGCCGGGTTGAAATACTTGAAAAAAAATGATGTCGTGTTTTTTTTGGGTAGTTGCCAACCCACTTAAACTATTGAGTTCACAGAATCAAATGAAAAATGTGTGGGGTCGCACGACTTATGTTTATCTCGTAAGATCCTCAAACTTCCTTCATTACATGTCGGTGGGGTGGGTGTTTCTCAACCTCTACAAGGGTCAAACATGTTCTATCAGAATCTATTGACGTTTGACATGTGGAACCAAACCCCCCCCCCCCCCCACATTTCTCTAATAAATATAATTCCTGGGTTTTTGCCTGATTGGATCTTTCACAAATCAAAGATGAAATTGTGATCGCAAACTTAGGAAAAGAGTAAATATATTGGCTGAGGAGTGAACAGCTTTTTAACTTTTTGGCTCTTTTAAGACAGCGGTCGCTACTCGCTAGTCACTTGTCGAGTTTAAATTATTTGAAGTAAATAATTTATGAAGTGAATCTCAATTCAGAAGATTAAAGGGGAAAAAAAGGGAAAAAAAAATTGAACTTTCTGCAGAATCACATCTATGACCTCGTGTGTTATGAGCAGCCTAGCAAGCACTACTCTTAGTCTTATTTTATAAGACAGAAAGAAGATTTTTTTAACCTTATTTAAAAGTTATTTTATTAAATTTTTAGTATAAATGTACTATCTCTTCATTCATTTATTATAGTGTAGATGATTATCTTTTTTAAAAGGTATATATACTAAATATGGGTAAATTTAAAAAGTTATTATATTTTAATAAAGAGTTAATACATTTTAAGATTTTTTTTATATATAAAATATATTAGAAATGTTTTATAAATAGGACAAAAGGAGTAAATTGTATTGTTAACAGTATATGAAATATGCGTCGTCTTTGAGATCCTATTAAGATATAGATATTATTTATTGTTTAATGTATTATATTTCGAAGATCTTTTAGAAATTAAAAGTCGAATTATATAATTTTTTTGACACACTAGCATAATGAAGTCAGATATTCCATTTAAAAGCATGAATACTTTTTGAATTATGTGATTTATCTTAACCTTCATGTATTTCAAACTTAGCTAATGTAGATTTGTGCGCCGAGTATAGATAAATTTATGAATGTCGCATGTGTTGTTGTTGATGGGTTGGTTAACCATTCTCGGAGAGGTTTCCCGTGGCGACCTAATTTGAGAGCAGCAAGAAAAATTATATAAACAAGGCTTCATAAAAAATCACAGAAGTCACAACTGCATTAATATTGCAGGACAAACGTTACCTAATCTCTTTCATTGTAAAAGGTTGGTTTCTTCCTCTTCTTTTTAACCAATATTATAAAAAAGAAAAATTAGGCATAAATTCCCAATGATAAATTTATTCAGATAACCATGTCTACGATTTTATACATGTCTGAGGTCTTTTGGTGTAAATAAATATGACAGCAGAAGACCAAATTACCGTTAAAGATTAATAAAGGGGAAAGAGGGAAGGTAACTGCGCATGCTGGGAGCTATTTGCATATTGGAGAAGCCAACTTGCACATTAAAAAAAATAATTACATTTTTCATCAAGGGTATGGTGACCATTGCACATGCGTTTTTAATTTCTTCTGAAAAAAAAAATACCGCCTCATGTAATTTTAGGGACCATCCTCTAAATAAACTTTTAATTGGGGATTTGTTATTGATTATAAAATGAATAAAACTATAGGAACCGAGTTGTAGCAAGTTAAACTTCCAGGACTGAGTTGTAACCGAGTCAAAACTATGAGGACTGAGTTATATTGAGTCAAAATATAAGGACTGAGTAATAAACGTATCAAAATTATAAATACCAAAAGATTAATTTTTTTCTAAATTTTTAATTGGCGATTTGTTATCGATTAAGCTGAGCTGGACAAGCAAACAAGCATCCACTCTCCCATCATCTCCTATCGCATGGCTTTTTCTAGGCCATCCCTTTTATTTATTTTATGTTACAAAAAAAGAAGAGTGTCACAAGTTCAAGTTCCCTCAAATTCCGGTGCAACAATTGCGTGGAGCCGCTTGCTTTTTGAGGGGGTCGGTTGTGATGGCAGTTAGTATTTGTTTTGCCCTGAAAGAGAGGGAATTGGATTTGTCATCAAAAGAATGCGTTCCCATATGACTCATCCACTCATTGACGGTCCAATGCTTAACAGTTGCTTGTCATTCTCCACCCGTCCCTCATGTATCACATCACCTTATCCCGCTCTTTTATTTGTCTCTCTCGTTTAATTATTTGATTTGATTATTACATTATTGGACAAAGCAGGTTTGAAGTGGAAAGCTGGCTCATTATAATTGGCCACTATCAACCAAATTCTTGATTTGATAAATTATTACTTAGTGGATTGGGAGTGACACATCGATTTCACTAGCTCCAATCAAAATGTTCAATCAAATTCATTTATATTTGTTTTATTTTATATTATCTTTTTATACATGAATTATTTTGTTAATATACTTCCCCTCCATCCTTATCCATAAGTCCTGTTTTGATTTTATTTTATTCTTACACATAAATCTCGTCATAAATTTTTATGTATGATTAATACTTTTTTTTTTTTTTGAAAAGCATCCTAATCGAAATATTGAAGATAGTTGATGTTTAAGATATCATGCAAATAAATAATAATAATTTTTATATAATATATAGATTTTATTTGCTTTTTGGTTCATGTGTTTTCATATATGACTTATTAATCCCTTATACTTTATAATATAATTACTTTATATGAAAAAAAATTATGATACCATCACTCCAATTAAAGATAAAAATAAGTAGCTAAGTTTATCATTTAGAGATAAAAATAAGTAATTAAGATAAAAATAATTATTAATCTCTTCTACTCTGTAATGTAATTACTTTATCAAGGAACGAAGGAGGAAAAGGAGAGGCCAAGAAAATGTAAATCCGTAGAAGTTTGAGGGTGAGATCCAATTTGGGCGGTGAACATGGAATGCATAAATTTATTATTGTTGAAGATAAAAGCGCGTTCGCTTTGGCTAGTCATCCAAGCAAAGTCAAGCAGTATTCACCTTCTAACTTAGGGACGGCGATACTGACTTCAATTCAAACTTCTTCCAAAGTCAAGGCCACGAACCTACTAATTTACTTTTATTTTTTAAGTTTTCAAATCCAAATAGCCTTTTTGGGCGGCAAGCTTTGGTATCCTCGCCTCATCATTTCCACGGGTATCCTTTTTCAGTTTTCCTTAGCGTCTCTGCCCAACCCACACATAACAAAGTAAATTCTCACAATGGGCAGGTTATTTCAATAATAGCATCACCCATTACATTTAAATAAGGTCTCAAATTTAAATTTTATATTGATAGTTTGCATATTGTACGTATTTTTTAAAAAAATTTAAAATGATTAATAAATAGCTTTTCAAGCGTTATTTATAGAGTAACAAGTAAATGTGTAAAATTTTTTTTATCCCGGCATATATTAAACATGTTTTTTATTTATTTCAATTTATATAAAATTTATTTATAAGTACTTATGATCGTGATTTTAAATGGGCTTTCATCACACTTAATTAGGACCATGCACAGTGCTTATTTATAAACTTAATTTGTGATACAATTTGACCATCAACAAACTATACAAGTCTCACCCTAGTCTTTATACATTAATTTCATAACAGTTATACCTCCAACTGTTAAAGCTTCAGTTCTAAATCGATCATTTTTATTTACATCTTTAATTAAATTTTAATTTTATTATTGGTCTTTATAGTTTGATGGATAAATTTTGGTTTTAGTCCCTGCATTCATACATACTTATTCCAAGTCAAGTATAGAAATAAAAAATCATTCAAAATAAAGAAGTCGTTTGTTAAATTCATACGGAAAAAATTATAAAACTAT